GAATAGTAATATACTCTATGATGAATAGTAATATACTCTATGGTGAATAGTAATATACTCTATGATGAATAGTAATATACTCTATGATGAATAGTAATATACTCTATGATGAATGGTAATATACTCTATGATGAATAGTAATATACTCTATGATGAATGGTAATATACTCTATGATGAATAGTAATATACTCTATGATGAATAGTAATATACTCTATGATGAATAGTAATATACTCTATGGTGAATAGTAATATACTCTATGATGAATAGTAATATACTCTATGGTGAATAGTAATATACTCTATGATGAATAGTAATATACTCTATGGTGAATAGTAATATACTCTATGATGAATAGTAATATACTCCATGATGAATGGTAATATACTCTATGATGAATAGTAATATACTCTATGATGAATAGTAATATACTCTATGATGAATGGTAATATACTCTATGATGAATAGTAATATACTCTATGATGAATAGTAATATACTCTATGATGAATAGTAATATACTCTATGATGAATAGTAATATACTCTATGATGAATAGTAATATACTCTATGATGAATAGTAATATACTCTATGATGAATGGTAATATACTCTATGATGAATGGTAATATACTCTATGGTGAATAGTAATATACTCTATGATGAATAGTAATATACTCTATGATGAATAGTAATATACTCTATGATGAATAGTAATATACTCTATGATGAATGGTAATATACTCTATGGTGAATAGTAATATACTCCATGATGAATAGTAATATACTCTATGATGAATAGTAATATACTCTATGATGAATAGTAATATACTCTATGATGAATAGTAATATACTCTATGATGAATAGTAATATACTCTATGATGAATGGTAATATACTCTATGATGAATAGTAATATACTCTATGATGAATAGTAATATACTCTAATAGTAATATACTCTATGATGAATAGTAATATACTCTATGATGAATGGTAATATACTCTATGATGAATAGTAATATACTCTATGGTGAATAGTAATATACTCTATGATGAATGGTAATATACTCTATGGTGAATAGTAATATACTCTATGATGAATGGTAATATACTCTATGATGAATGGTAATATACTCTATGATGAATGATAATATACTCTATGATGAATAGTAATATACTCTATGATGAATGGTAATATACTCTATGATGAATGATAATATACTCTATGATGAATAGTAATATACTCTATGATGAATGGTAATATACTCTATGATGAATAGTAATATACTCTATGATGAATAGTAATATACTCTATGATGAATGGATTATTATCAAAACATTTTATTGTCTTATAAATGTACATACATGATGTAAATAGTAACGTATATACATAATGTTTATAAATAACCGAATCAATAACCATATTAATCACTCGTCTATTAAGAATGGCTGCCAAGTTAACTTACATTCATGTCTCAAATATGCATACATCAACTTGTTCTAACAATTCAAAAGATGGTTCACCTTTGCTCTATCTCATTTACAAAATCAAATTGTTTGATCCAACTCTGGGTTATATTCCGGACTCTAGTCCATTGTTTTCAACTTCTAGAAACGCCTAGAATAACTAAACTTTTATCAAGGGATCTAACCATAAGTAGTAGACCATTGTGTTCCACCAAAATTAATTGACTCTTACCGATTTGTTTTTTTTGTATGAACAATATTTATTTACATAATAGGATTGGGGAACAGGCTTTCGCCTATAATACCCTCTCCTTAAAATACAATATACACAAAATATATAGAAAAGAAATAGATATATACATGTGAATAAGAGAAATATACAAATAATATGCTACATGCTACATTTATAACTTATATATTATATTTTATATTAGTAATATTGGTAAATTATTTAGAGATGTGGAGTCATAACCAACAGCTTAATGATAGGTGTTTTTGTAAGAGATTTATAACAGATTTACACAAGTATTCTGAAGGATTATCACTGTTTCTAAGATTATAAAGTGTGCTGGGATATTGTACAAGGTGTGAAAGAAAAGCGAGAGTTTGATTATTTTTTGATTTTGAACATCAATATAAGTTAGTGCTTCCTCCTACTCTCTTGAAAAATTATAAATCCTGTTTCTTCATAAATTACCTGATGGTTCCGTCCCAGATAACGTCACAGTAGTCAAAATGCGGTATAATGTTTTAGATAAAATGCCAGGAATATTAATATCCCTTTTACAATTTTTGGGGCAAAATCAAACCTAAATGTTTATGAAAATTGACTTCTTTAATATATTGGTATATTGTTCGGTAAAGGATCTTTTTTAGTCTAAGGAGTGTAAGTGTTTCAGTTTTCAGATGGTTGAGAGATAGAAGCCATGTTTCAGCCCAATTGTTGATAGTTTTAAGGTCTGAATTAAGCATATATTTTCATATATAGGCTGGTATCGTCTGCAAAAAGTTTAATGTTTGAGTTGCTCCGAGCTGCTCCGAGTTTGTGACAGAGACCAGCATGTCAGACTCTGCCAAAAGCCTTGCTGATGTTACAGAACACTGTCATAGTGTATTTCCCTTCATCAATGGCTTAACAAAAAATGAGCGCTAAGTCTATTAGTTGATAGGTTGTAGATCCACAGTGCAGAAACCACTTTTGTAGGCTTGTAATGATATTATGTTCCTTTGAGTAATTAAAGACATGTTTGTAAGTACAGTAACTTTTACAACAAAACTTAGTAAACTGACAGGTCTGTAATTTTCACAATATTTCAAGATATAAGGTAAAGTTTTAGACGACAGTGAGGGGTTGAATAGTTTGCAGAGATGTTTACTAATTTCATTTTTAAATGATTTTCAAAGTTTTGATCAGGTCCATTTGCTTTACTGATGTCAAGAGGTGATATTGTCTTTAACTTCTTATAAATCTAGTTCACTGTGGTTGAGTGAATGTGGATTTTGATCAAGAGTAGGAACTCCTACCGATTATCTTTAAACAAACTGTGCACAGAAACCACTCACAAAGTTTAAATCAAAAAATAACTTAAAAGAAAGTAAAGTACTTCAAAGAACATTTTACAGTTTCGATCTTAACGAGTTTCAGATGTGGTGTATTTTTCTAAATTAGATATAATATATTATATAAGTATATATTGAACAAAAAGTCTATAATATAATAATATTTACAATGACTAGGTATATTACAATAACATGATATATTATATTTTATACAGTCTTATGATACATGTTTAACAGTTACGATTATTTCTACTGCTATAATACTCTATACTTCATAGAACGTGTCAGCTCATCATCTTTCATATTCAAAGATCATTGAGTAATAAAATGCCCCAAAAGAAACAAGCAGATTTTTACTTCTATAAAAACTTTTCCTTTATATCTGTGACTAGCTATTCACGCATAACTCCTAAACGTCAAAGCTTTTGTAATGTATATAACAAGTAAATCGATTGAGGTTTAGATCGATACTGTTGTAAATGAAAAATCCTAAAGTTTGGTTGGAAAGTACTAACTTAGAACCTGCAAATAGAAAAGATCCTCATAACACCTAACTTGTGATCATTGCTTATTTCCCTTTTTACTAGATCAGGAATTTTCAACCTTTTTCTTACACTAACCCCGTTCAGTATCCTTGATCGATTTCAATACTCTCTTTCTCCGCTATAAAACTCTTTACGTTTTCTCGACAATATTTTTCGGAGAATATAGCCTGCCTGAATATTAAATATCATATTTTATGTTAGATTAAAAGAACCTTATTACCTCTGAAGATTTCAAAATCCCCCACCCCACCCCTAAGTTGAAAACCCCTGTACAAGATTGATGTAAATGTAATGTGATACAGATATAAAATATCGACATAAGACACTGGCTACAGAAACGTCTTGTCAACTGAAGGCAGGGTTGGGCTTCTTACTCAAGTTATTTTTTGTATTCAACTCTCTTTTAAATAAACCGATGTGATTGTAACACGATGAATTCTATCGAGTACGAAGCCCAAGGGTAGAGTCTATTCCTGGTATTCTATCACCAAGACACACCAACTGCTACTAATCCACATAATAACAGTGAAATCGAAGCTGTAAAAATAGACGAACTGTCGGCACTCCCCCAATATTCATCACAAATTGGAGGCATGAACGATTTGACCACCAGCATCATGGCATTCGTTACATTGCTAGGACACAGCTCAACCAAAGGCTTTCTCAAACAATCTACAATTCTATCAGCAAATCTGAAGAAAAAAATTGATATTGATTTTTTTACTCGAATGCAAGTTTCTGCGTATTCGGTGAACACTTAATAAAAAAAATCAAAAAAATCATCAAAATATTCATTCTGCATTCACCACGTGAAAATATGTCAAGGGATTTAGAAAATTAGTATAAATTTTCTACTTACATACAACTAAAAGTCATTATTTCTACTGGGCTGGAATCTCCAGAACGAACTTTAGCTTGAAGTTTTGTTCTAAACTCGATATTTCTACTTAAAACACAGGCTTGGCTGTTATTGTTGGCGTCAGTTAGGCATTTATCATTGACTATAATAACTGAAACATATAATAGATATTCTTAATAATAAATAGATATCAACACAAACTTTAAAGTATGTCATAAAGCTACACACAAACACACCCTTCACATTAAACATAAGTGAAAGGATTGATATTTCAGTGGATAGAGATGTGTAATAACTCCACCTGGTATTATTATTGATAGTCAAGGAGGGATAACTCTAAAAATATTAGATATATTTTTGCATGCCTATTTTGGGGTAATTTTTGGTCTAGATTTGGAATTTGATGTCTGAAATTGTATTATCTTTAAGATTTGGTGAGATGAGAGACATAAATGCGGAAGGCTAATTCTAAAAATAGTCGTTTTGTGAAGTGCCAAACTCTAGCGGATGAATATAACCGGTAGTAGTCTACTTTCAATTTTAGTAGCTCAAACATTTCATGGTCATCATAATATATTATATTGAATATTTAAGGAGACATTGAGAATTGGTCTGGCTTTCATTCGACATATTGGAAAGCTTTCAACGAGATTTCTGGAAAAGTTGTAGTAGGTTGAATTTCGTGTTTTAACATGGGAAGAGATGGCAAATGAATTCGTGGAGTGAGTCCTTATAATTTTCCATCATAGTATTACATTGAAATATTAAATCTTTAAAACTGCATAATGTCATTCATTGTAAACTATTGTAAACTATATTCAAACTTCTATTATCGTCTGGTTCTTAAACCAATTTTTAAATCGTTACAAGTATGTCTAATTCTTGTTCCGTTTTAACAAGACAAAACAAAAATCAATGAAAAAATTGTTACCTTCTAGATTATCACATATAACATTCATCCCCGTCTTCCACCGTTCTACATTGACTAATTTTCTCATGTTTTCTATATCGGGTGTATCAACACAGGCATTAAATATATTCTCTAGACAGTGAATAGCTTTATCTAGAGTCCCATCTCTACAAGGTTAAAATACAGATATTAAATATATTCTCTAGACAGTGAATAGCTTTATCTAGAGTCCCATCTCTACAAGGTTAAAATACAGATATTAAATATATTCTCTAGACAGTGAATAACTTTATCTAGAGTCCTGTCTCTACAAGGTTATAATACAGATATTAAATATATTCTCTAGACAGTGAATAGCTTTATCTAGAGTCCCTTCTCTACAAGGGTAAAATACAGATATTAAATATATTCTCTAGACAGTGAATAGCTTTATCTAGAGTCCCATCTCTACCAGGTTAAAATACAGATATTAAATATATTCTCTAGACAGTGGATAGCTTTATCTAGAGTCCCATCTCTACAAGGTTAAAATACAGATATTAAATATATTCTCTAGACAGTGAATAACTTTATCTAGAGTCCCATCTCTACAAGGTTAAAATACAGATATTAAATATATTCTCTAGACAGTGGATAGCTTTATCTAGAGTCCCTTCTCTACAAGGTTAAAATACAGATAGTAAATATATTCTCTAGACAGTGAATAGCTTTATCTAGAGTCCCTTCTCTACAAGGTTAAAATACAGATATTAGATATATTCTCTAGACAGTGAATAGCTTTATTTAGAGTCCCATCTCTACAAGGTTAAAATACAGATATTAAATATATTCTCTAGACAGTGAATAACTTTATCTAGAGTCCCGTCTCTGCAGGTTAAATACAGATATTAAATATATTCTCTAGACAGTGAATAACTTTATCTAGAGTCCCGTGTCTACAAGGTTAAAATACAGATATTAAATATATTCTCTAGACAGTGAATAACTTTATCTAGAGTCCTGTCTCTACAAGGTTATAATACAGATATTAAATATATTCTCTAGACAGTGAATATCTTTATCTAGAGTCCCGTCTCTACAAGGTTAAAATACAGATATTAAATATATTCTCTAGACAGTGAATAGCTTTATCTAGAGTCCCATCTCTACCAGGTTAAAATACAGATATTAAATATATTCTCTAGACAGTGGATAGCTTTATCTAGAGTCCCATCTCTACAAGGTTAAAATATAGATATTAAATATATTCTCTAGACAGTGAATAACTTTATCTAGAGTCCCATCTCTACAAGGTTAAAATACAGATATTAAATATATTCTCTAGACAGTGAATAGCTTTATCTAGAGTCCCATCTCTACACGGTTAAAATACAGATATTAAATATATTCTCTAGACAGTGAATAGCTTTATCTAGAGACCCGTCTCTACAAGGTTAAAATACAGATATTAAATATATTCTCTAGACAGTGAATAGCTTTATCTAGAGTCCCGTCTCTACAAGGTTAAAATACAGATATTAAATATATTTTCTAGACAGTGAATAGCTTTATCTAGAGTCCCGTCTCTACAAGGTTAAAATACAGATATTAAATATATTCTCTAGACAGTGAATAGCTTTATCTAGAGTCCCGTCTCTACAA